CCAAAGACGATCCAAGCTCGAGCCTTTCTTTTTTACCCCCCTGGAAAAGCATACATGACGACTTCTTAAAACCATCCGCCGTCGACGCTGTCGATCCGCATTCGCATTCCCTAGTTGGCTCGGCCAACGCCGGCTTTTTCCCACTCACCGACTCACCCCGATCAAAACACCGCCAGCATGAGATTCTCTCCATCGCTAGCGAATATCATGGCGGCCATGGTGGCTCTCCCATCACTGGCCGCGGGCGAAAAGATGCTCGTATCAAATTCACTCAACACCTGCCAAACCAACTCCAAGTTCGAGGCCAGCCTTTTCAACGTCGTATACACACCGTCCAACAACTCTGCAACTATCGACGTAGTCGCCACGTCCTCCGTACAGGGAAAAGTCTCATTCCACGTGGTCGTTCTAGTCTATGGTCTCAAAATCGTCGAAACCGACTTCAATCCATGCGGGAAGAAGGGATTGGAGGGTATCTGCCCCATGGTGGCTGGCAAGACCAAGTTTACCTGGACCATTCCTGTTCCTGCTGAAAGCACCAAGGACGTCCCCAGCATTGCCTTTGGCATCCCCGACTTGGACGCTATGGTGCGCGTAAAGATGAATCTGATTGACACCAAGGATCAAATCGCCTGTGTCGAGGCTAGGATTTCCAACGGGAAAACCGTCGACCTCAAGGGCGTCAAGTGGGCGACGGCCATCATCGCCGGCTTGGCCCTCTTGTCGTCTGCAGCAGTGAGCGGACTGGGCCATCTAAATACTGCTGCTCATGTTGCTGCTAATTCGCTCTCCTTGTTTGGGTACTTCCAGGCTCAGGCCATTGTTGGACTGACTGGCCTCCGCCTCCCCCCGATTGTGCAAGCCTGGACCCAAAACTTTCAGTGGTCCATGGGAATCATCCACCTTAACTGGATGCAGAAGATATTTACTTGGTACCAACGTGCCACCGGTGGGACGCCGTCAAGCCTGTTTTCTACTCTAAAGACCATCTCCGTTCAGGTTGAGAAACGTGGTCTCGACGTAGCCGAAGCCGCCGAGTCACTCGCTAAACGTGGTCTCTCCATGCTTCCCGAAAGTGTGTCCAGTACAGCGGCGCTCATCTTGAAGCGTGCAGGAAACATCACCAATGATTCAGGATCCTACCTGGTCTTTGGCATCCAACGTGTGGCATTCCGAGCCAAAATTGAGTCGACTAACCTCTTCCTCACGGGTCTAGTCTGGTTCTCCTTATTCGTCATCGTCACCGCCATCGGTGTTGTCGCATTCAAGGGAATTCTCGAATTATGTGCATCAAAGGGCCTCGTATCAAAGGACAAGTTTCTGGAATTTCGAAACGGCTGGCGTATTATTCTCAAGGGCATCATGTTCCGCCTGTGCCTTATTAGCTTTCCGCAGATTGCCATTCTTTGCCTATGGGAACTGACACAAATCGATTCGCCAGCATTGGCAATCTTGGCCGTGGTATTCTTCGCCGCTGTTTCCATCATTCTCGGTTGGGGTTCTAGTAAGGTCATCCGAATTGCGCGTCGATCAATTGCCATGCATAGAAACCCGGCCTATATCCTCTTCTCCGATCCGCAAGCCTTGAACAAGTGGGGATTTCTGTATATCCAATTCCGTGCGTCGGCCTATTACTTTGTTGTGCCGGTCCTCGGTTACATCTTAATCAAGGCCATGTTTGTCGCCTTTGCGCAAAAGGCTGGCCTTGCACAAGCAATCGGCTTTCTCATCCTTGAATTAGCTGCTCTTATTGCATGTTCTGTCCTGCGTCCCTGGATGGACAAGTCGACTAATTCATTTAATATCGGCATTTATGCGGTGAATTTTGTAAATGCAATTTGCTTGCTGGTCTTCTCCGACGTTTTCGGTGCACCGGGTATTGTTATTGGCGCTGTGGGCGTTGTATTTTTCGTTCTTAATGCTGCATTTTCGTTGATTCTGCTACTCATGGTCATTATTTCCACAAGTTTTACCTTCTTCCGGAAAAATCCAGACGCGCGCTATCAGTACATGGCTGATGATCGTGCTTCGTTTATGCGATCACAGACTCATCTGACAACCACCACCGAGTTGGACGCCTTGGCTGCCACGGCCCGTGGTGACAAAGGAGGATACAAGTCGCAGCTGGACTTGGAAGATGACGGGCATCTCCATCCGATGCATGGCGGCAACCGATCTGCTAGCCCGTCTTCACCGGTAAACCCGTCTATGCCGCTGTTCCCGTCTAGCAGGGAGCAGAGTCCATTCCGAACCCCCTCTCCTACTCCCAGCGTGGGATCGTATGGAGGCGCACCGCCGTCTTACCGGCAGGTGAACAATTCAAGGTGAGTTTCCACCGGACCTGGTTGAAACTATACCCGCTAACGCCAGAATCAGTCCATGGAAACGTGGGGCAGGATATGAGTAATATTAAAGTCTATCAAGCATTCTTTGGCAGTGGAGGTGCGAGATGGCAAAGCATATGTATAGTAAAGGGTTAACATGCACAAATGGGCTTCGTTGAGGTTAACATGATGAGAATTGAGATCATAATGCCTACTTCAAATGACGATGCCTTGGCATTTTCTAAACAACAGCAATGAGTATACCATCATACCATCAAACACCATGACCTCGCTCTCCCAAAACTCTAGCTGCAAAGTTTGGTTGTCAACCGCCTCAGCAGGTAGACAAGACTTGACAATGCCAGCAAACACGTCTCCGGCCGCTGATTTAAGCATAGATATGCCTTTGTGGGATAGGAGTTGTGTTTGAACACCTTGCACCGCCGCAGGCTTGGGCCGTTGCTTCCGGTCCAACCCCAATACGATGTTAATCGGCTTCAACACTGCAAGCTCGTACAGCACAGCTCCCAAACTGCAGACACTGTACAATTTTCGGAACCCATTTCGCCCTTCTCGCGGCACATTAAACTGCGTCTTGGCATGGCGGTACAGGTCGAACCACGGATTCTCCGACGGTCTCTCGCTTGTCTCGTCCAGGTCAGCTGGCCGGGAGTATTCGAAGCCGCACAATGCTGGTGAGATAAGTCCATCCTCACTATCACTAAACACGATATTCTCACTTCGAAGTCCCTTGTGAAGCCACTGAGTTGAATGGAGATGTCATATGGAATCTGCAAGGTGGCGCGCCATCTGGACCCTGGTGGTCAAAGACGGTTTCATCATTGTACCAGAGCATCGGAAGGGCACATTGGCAATTCAAGGGTTTCCCGGCCTCGATTGAAAGGTTTACAGCCTTGAATACTGTCATGAGCATTGCTCGTTGGTCATATGTTGCTTGAGTGGTCTGACAGACCACTGCGATTGACGGCTTTGAAGCCGCAGATTCTTGAAGTGACTGGAAGAGATGAAACAAATCATCTATTCGATTATTTACTTGAAGAACTTGCATGAAAGCTGCTTCCTGCATTCTGCAATGCTTTTCCAACTGGTATGAGCTCAAGAACTGCGCATACCCTCATTGAAAGTCGACACAGTCTTTCGGCAACTCTTCAAACTTGGTCTTGTCGAATGCCGCCCAACGCAATCGTTTTGGGGCATTTTCTGGTCTTGTCGAATAGCTTCAATGCCTCTTTTTCGAGGCCACATAAGCTCGCGGAAGCTTCGGTGACGAACTAGCTGATCTGTCGTCTGCTCCGTCCTCGTCGCCAGACTGGTCAGCGGACTCGAGCTGCAGGTTGTACTTGTGCTTCAACTTGGATGTATCCAACAGCCGTATCCGCATTTCGCGAAGTGCATCCTGTATAGTATGTCTTCTTAATCGAAGAGTGTGATGAAGCGATTCCTCGCTCTCTGATACCTTGACGAACAGCCCAACCAAGAAGCTTGTCCTTTTCCATCTGCAGTAAGCGAAGAGCATCGTGAACAGTGAAGTGAACAGAACAGCAAAGCCCAGGGCTTCACTAACATATAAACCACGCTCATTACCTGAGATAGAACCACCTCTAGACAGTTATTAAGACCATTGCTACCAGTTTCATTGGAACCCTAGCTCTTTAGTGCTCGAGCATTAGCGTGACTCGCCCAGAAACCAAGAACATCCCGATCAGCTTACCCTGTACCTCGGCGTGAGCAGATGTCACACTTGGGCGGCCGATGTCTACGTCACGTATTTTTTTAAACATCGCGTGGCGCTGTAATTAACTGGTTCTTTGGTATCGGATCTATTAGTCCAGGCACTGGCGCGAATCGCTTTGGAAATAGCGGTGGAGGATGGCGTGATCCAGTAGCAGATACTGAGTCAATACCACTTGTCTAAATGTGTTATCAACTCTCCATAGGACCAGCCCCCAAACTTTAGGTTGTTGACTTTCTGGTTCGTCTCTTCATTTTGGCTGGCGATTTCTCCTGGTCTGCCGCTTCTTGCTCCAAGTCATTGGGATGGGACTGGGAACCAAGTTCCTCCATAACTACTGCTCCATGTGCTAAGGCTTGTAGTGCTAAGGAAATTAAGAACTTAAAATAAATTGTTAAATATAATTTATATCTGATCGCGCTCGCTCGCTCCCTACTTGCTACCGCTCGACCTAGACCTCACTCCACTCCACTCATTGTTCTATCCCCCTTCCCGGCCACTTCTTTAGATGAGAGCGTTTTGATCATTGCTTGTTCCTGATTGCGGGTAGCCCCTGAAGTACCTACAAGCACACACACACACACACATATATATATATATATACATATATTCAGTAGCATAGGCAGAAATAATGCTCCTCCTCTTCATAGATACATGCAGTCACTTTGGCGCGTTTGCCATCACTAGCCCATGAGGTCGTCGAGACATCGCGGAGCCCTCTCTAAACTAGGAAGGGTGAGTATAGAAACGAACTGGGCAGAGTATGGGCCCCACTAGGTCAGCCAGATCATCCCGATCGTCGAGCTCGAGCGCTGCGGTGCTCAGGCCGTTCCAGTGGTGCTTGCCGATGCCTGATGGCCGAACAAGGCTCTACCTCCCACGATCTATGGGCTCACTTGCGACATTGTAAAGGCTGTCAAACATTAGTCACGGCTCTGGTAGCTTCGGCTTTCACAAACCACATGCTTGATATCCTCGCGGTGGTCGGGGGTAGCAGCGTCGCCCGAGCATGGCAGGCCTGCAGGTGCTGGCCTCGCAGCCACCCTTCCCTCCTCGTCCTCACCAGCCTTTTGGCTTTCAAAGCCAACCTTCTGCTGCCGGCGGCCACTTCGAAGGTCGCTCAGGTTTTCGAGATATCCATCTGGCAGCCCAGTCACGTATCCGCCCGTAAATACGCCTATTTCCATATCTTTGATTGGAGTCTCACCCTGAGCGGCTTCAATGCACGCCGCCTTCAATCCGTTCTCGCCGTCGACGTCTAGGAAGACGACTTCGTCAGCGCCTAGGTAATCGGCGATTTCTCGCTGCGTCCTGTTGTAGGCAATTAGAGCTTCGAACGTCAGCGTCACAACCTTGACTCCAGTCTGCGGGCTTGTACAGTGAACGGAAATACCTACCAGAACGGTCCGCGAGGTCTATACCATACTGCACATACACTCAGTACTCTCAACGACGTATGCCAAAAAGCGATGGATGACTCACGATGTGCGGATGTGTGCAGGGTGGGGAGCATGAGACAAAGACGACGCGAAGCGCGCCCGCTTCCCTGGCCAATTGGACCTGAATTATTAGCGGGAAAGCTTGGAAACTAAAAGCAAAGCTGCCAATGCAGACTTACAATCTGTCGCGACGTTGCTAACACGGTCATTAGCCCAGACTCCGAAGAGAGCTTTGAAGATTACTCACTGCCTCGGACGATGCTGTCGTCGACGATGACCAGGTTCTTGCCTTGGAATTCTGACTCGACGAAAGAGAATTTACGGCGGACACTCTTTAGGCGTGAAGCCTGATCAGGCAGGATAAAGGTGCGATGGACGTAGCGGTTCTTGACGAGGGCCGTCACGTACGGCTTCCCTAATTTCTGAGCTAAAGCAGCTGCCGCGACGTTGCTCGTCTATTGGCACAAGGTCAGCATCGTCAAACCTGGAGTCTACCCTAGAAACGTTATAATTCACCTCTGGAACTGGAATAACTGCGAATAGTCAGTGGTTAGAAAGATGAATTATGTTATCGATGTTTGACTTACTCGCGTCAATCTCCTCGACACCCTTTTCTCCAAGGACGCCTTTGATCTTCTCGGCCAACTTCTCTCCCATCTTTTGCCGACTGCGGTATACGGATATACCATCAATCCAACTCTCTAGTCGGGCAACGTATATGTATTCAAACGTGTCAGGAGTATAACCTCTCTGCGTAGCAACCTGGCGAAAGATAGGAGTGCCGCCTTTTGGACAGAAGACGGCCTGGCCTGGCAATATATCCACAATATCACGAAAGCCAAGTTGCTGTAGTACAACTGACTCTGACGCCATGAAGTAATCATATACGCCTGCTATGGTAGCTGAGGGTCGTGACCCAATGCAAAGGGGGCGGATGCCATCAGCGTCCCTATATTTTGATCTTCATCAGATATTGGCACTACAGTAGGAGATCCGCATGTGACTTGCCTGAAGGCCAGAATCCCGAAGCCCGCGATCATCCCCGTGCATGCAAAAGCCCCGTGACATCTGGAATACACATCGCCCAATGCGTTGAAGATATCGTCGACTTTGGCGCGAGTCCTTCCGAGCTTGTGAAGGCCGTGTGCGAAAACATTAAGCCTTTGACAGATGAGATACTGCGCGATGATGCCGAATGAGCCGGAAGCGAGATGCAATCACTTACAGAAGCTCCGAGTCGGAATCGGAGTTGATATGCCGGTGAGCTTCCTCATCGAGGTATCTGCGGAGCTCCTCGGTATTAATGACGTTCCCATTCACGGTCAGTGAGATTCCGAATGGGGCATTAACGTATAATGGCTGGGCTTCCGACCTAGAGTCAAGGATCAGATAATCAGAGATAAGAAACATTTTCCATCACCATTCCGTATACGTACGCAGACGCGGTACCCATGGTCGGATAGCGGACATGACCAATCCCTAGAGAACGGTTATCTTCCGTACAGACGTTGAGATCGCTGTCACGCACCCATATAGCCCGGAAGCTGTTGCAGCCGCCTGCCGTCTGAGAAGACTTCGCTGGCCAACCCCAGTCCCTTGCACTGGAAGACTCTGCTGCCCTGGCAAACTGCAATTCCCGCAGCATCTTGTCCTCGCTGATGACACCATCAGCATTTTCCCACAGTGACAGTTGTCGCTCGATCATTTCTTGACGGCTTATGGACTTACATGCTGGAGAGAATAAAGAGACTCATGCAGATCAACCGCGGCGCTGGTAGCGTCGGGGTCGCCAAGCTGTTAAAGCAGTCAGCGTGTCTCTTGCTGCCCCTCAGTAGGACAGTTTCTAGGAGCGAGGAAGAAGGCGTACCAATATGGCTGAGACACCGCACATTGCGTCGCTTGATGACTTTGTCTATCCTTTCTCACACTTAGATGTTCGGTATCTATCATACAAATAATGCTTTGGATGCTGAAGAATTGACACAATCGTCGAATCAGGGAATTTTTTTTCTGTGGTACAATAGACCCACTACTTACATAAAATGACCATATCAGCAGTCGCGATTCGCTCCGCTTTTAGTCACGTGCCCCTATGCACTGATTTCTGTTTCATCACCCTCTCTATCTTTCTTCCCTCTTTTCACTGGCATCATGGCCGGGCCCCTAGACTCGAACCCTCGACGAAGTGTCACTACTGTTCAAGAGCAGCGCTGGCCTCACGCTTACGCTGATCAATCTCAAAATTGACTGCGAGACGACCCAAACACCGCCGTGAACTGACGATGATCAACACGAGGGTGTCGAAACGAGTGCGCCGCACGCTTCCTGGAACGGGCTCGATTTAGAAAGTCGAGCCCGATGGCGAGGCGCGCAGGAAGACAGACCAGCAAAATGGAAACAATTCCCTTGATGCAGTCCTCGACAGTGCTGGTCAGTTTACGATGATATCGCCCTTATGATGCCGACCTGGCTGACCATCCTTAGATGGGTTGTCGAAATGTACCGCTTGGCGTACTATCCATGCGAAGTATGCTGCAATACGCGAAGCATTCCCAAACGTCGACGAGCCGCCATCCGACAACTCAATTTTACCATTTTTGAATATGAAGATTCGATGCGATAATCCGCTGGAAGAGAATAAACGGGTGCCTCCGCTTCGCCTTTACCTCTCCCATGGCTCCATTGCCAACCTCGAACGAGTAAATGGCGGTGTTCTTTAGGCATATTTTTGGCTTCCAACAGGAGCCTGTACGCTACCTGCTGTCAGAACCGGCTCTCGACTCTCTTCTCATTTTGGCCCCATGCTGACCTTTAACACAATCTGAGAACAGCTCGAATGTAAGTGAGGCAACAGTCAGCGCCAGACCGGCGACACTTGGGAAGTCTGCCATTTTGGACAGATTTGAGATTTTAATGTCACTTATTTTCGAATCACGGACGGTCAGAACAAGGAATAGGTGTGTGGAATAGTCTATGCCTCCTGTGGTTGGGAACATCAGCCTGCATGAGGGTGGGTTTTGCGGCTGACCATGGACGATGTGCTTGTTTCTGCGCACAAGCTATCTTCGCCAGCCTTATTCCCGCCCTCATTTCACACTCTCCTACATTTCTTGAGACCCAGTACATAAGGCACCATGCCTCTTGATTATTTGAGAAGTTGCTGGCTGACGGTACTTACACCTTAGTCCAACACGGGTTGCTCCGGCTTGGCCTTTGGTGTTTGGTTTGTCTAGTGAAACAAAAATCCGCCATCCAATTTTAAACGCCGTTCTGAGCATGGAAAATGAAGAGGACAAGAAATGGGTCATCGGCATCGACTTGGGCACTGCCAATATAAGTGTGGCAGTCTACCGCGAAGCCACAAGGCAAATCGAAACGATTCTCTTGGACGATGGGTACTGTCTTCCCGCGTATATTGGCTTCAATGAATCTGAACCCTTCATCGGCAGCGAAGCGCTTTGAAGAGTGTCTGCTCATTTGGAAAGCATGACATGCAATATGAAATCATTTTTGGGGGTCGCGATATGTCCGTTATCCGATTCATCGGACTCACGCCGAGAACCTATTCTTTCGGCACCAGTGGACGGACCAACCTCAAAATCTCATTGCTAGGGTCGAGCACAAAGGAGAAATGGCGGATTTAAAAACTGTATCTCTATTTGCTATGCTTCTTTCTCGGCTGAAGACGAAGGCGAGGGCTCACTTAAACGGCACGCTTGGGAGGCACCGTTAGTGCCGTAACCAGTATACCCGCCTGCTTCAATACGGAACAGCGAAATGAGGCAATAGACGCCGTCAAGATTACGGAAATATCCGTTCTTGAACTTTTAGCAGATCCTTACGGGCTTCTGATTGCAGCCAACATGGAAATACAAGCTCGCCTTAACACGGAGTACACCCCAATACTCGGATCAGCTATCACAATTACGACAATGCCGCAGTTCGAGGCTTGGCCGTCCAGGCCGCCATGCTGACCGGGATAACAGACGCCCATGTTACGCTACACAATTACCTTTTGCTGACGGTGTACCCCGTTTCTATTATCGTAGAAACATTAGGGGGGATGGTGTCCTTCCTGATATCCAAAAATACTGTCCCGACAATAAAAAAGAACAGCTACCTCTGGAACGTACCAAGGTGAAGATCCGCGGCCTGAATAGAGTAGACTTCTGGGGACCATCGAAATTAGTGCCCTACTGCCGAAAAACATGGATCTGGACTTCGCACTAGAGGTCATTCTCGACGTTGACGCGAGGCACAAATCGGAAGTGCCCGTGCAAGTAAAAAACACAGACAAGACGATCCGCCAGAGTCTACGAGACGCGGGTGGTCTGTCGCAAGAGTGAAAAGGACTAGTTATTAATCATGCAGCCGGACGGAGATTACAACTTGTCACAGTACTACGACCAATGTTACAATGCGACAGACAAGTTGTCCCTACTCAGAGGCTTCTTTGGCCGTCTTGTGAGCGCAGTTCAGTACTTGCATGATTTCAAAAAGCGGCACCGCGACATCAAGCCGCAGTATATCAGTGTCAAGAACGATCAGGGTCTTCGTGGCCTATTTCGGAATCGCCCATAGCTGGGAAAATCTGGCTAGAGCGACCACTACGGCTGACTCGGGCAGGACGATGATCCATGCCGCCCCCGAGGTGGTCTGCTTGGAAAGGAGAAACACGGCCGCGGACATATGGTCGTTCGGGGGCGTATTTCGGGAAATGGCCACGGCTCTAAAAGGCAAGACTGTTCAGGATAGGCGAAACTACTTTCGCGAACAAAGCGACAGCTCATCATTTCATGAGAATGCCGAAAGCATCGGCGTCTGGGCGGACAGCTTGAGAGGAAGGTATTGGCCAAGCGACCACATTGCGCCGAGCTGGGCACTGTCTTTGCTACAGCAAGACTAGCATAAGCGGCCCATAGCTGCAAAATCGTATGAAGGTGTGACTAATCTGCCAAAAGTGGAGGACCTCCTACAGATGGAGATCGTATTGCGGCATATATGTCGGTGTTCTATTACAGAAGGCATTCTCAAGGAGTCTCAGGAGCACGGCATACCATCTTGCGGACCCTGCTGCGATGGCATCGAGTCAACTGAAGGGGAGAATGATGGCAACTTGTGGGAGGATTAAACGAATACAGCAGGTTGGTTCACATTCACTTCTCGGGAAGCTCAGCAGGCACAGCGCAGTAAATGGTGACGGCTGACAAGCCCATCTTGGTTTGCTATTGCAAAGGTTTACAACGACTTTTCAATCTCCATCACCTCCCGAATACCCTCCTCGATGGCCTTTAGTCTGGCCTCATTCAATCGCTTCAGCGGCCGCCGGGGGTACCCTCCATAGCCGAAATGCATCTGAATAGCCTGCTTCGTTCCGGCAATAGCAGCCTTGGTCAGAGGCCAATCACCGCGGCTCAGAATCCTTTGCAGTGCCTGGGCTTCGTCCTTCTTTCCCTCTGCATACAAGTTCCACACACGGGCGCAGACCTTGGGCATGACATTGGCGCCCCCGGCAATGATGCCGCTGCCACCGCTGGCCAGAGTCTGAAGGGTGAAGTCGCACATGCCGCCGAACGCCATGTATCCTGAGCCCTCCTGGAAGGGGGTCTTGGCGTTGGTGCCGAGAGCCACGCGGGTCAACTTGCCAGTGTTGCCGCAAGTGAACTTTGTGCCGACAATATTGGGATGCTGTCCCAACTCTATGAGGACGTCGCTGTCCAGGTCAATTCCGGACACGGCGCCGGGGTAGTTGTAGATGATGACGGGGAGAGGACTGGCGTCGGCCACAGCAGTGAAATAGTTGACGATGGACTCCTCGTCAGTCTGGGCGCGGTAATAAGACGGGGGCAGCAGGAGCGTGTAATCGGCGCCAGCTTCCGCAGCCAGCTTGCTCAATTCGACTGTCCCTCTCACACTACCTTCGGTGGCACCCAGAATGATGGGCGTCGAGGTAAAGCCAGCCTCGTCGAGGGCCTCGCGGGTGGCCTTTGTGACGGCCAGCTTCTCTTCTCTGGTGCAGTGGACAGCTTCGCCGTTTGAGCCCATGGTGATGAGGCCAACCAGGCCGTCGCGGATAAGGCGCTGGGCGTGCTTCTTGATGGTCGGGATGTCGAGATCTTCGGTTTCAGGGTCGAAAAAGGTCATGGTCGGGGCGTATATGCCCACGGGTAAAGAGCGTCTTGCCGGCATCTCGAGTATATTCTACGTGCCTGATAAAAAGCTCAAATATTCTATAGAATACAGGACTAGGCGCCAGGTTATATTGGAAAAAAAATAAAGCACAAAATCAAACAGTTGGCGGTGGGAAGGACGTAGGAGCCGCGTCGGTTTATAACTTGATCACCCGACGGAACATTGTCACAAATAGCTGTGGGGGGGCATTGAGGGGTCCATTATTCCGTGTAAGCGACCGAGTCGACCCAAGACGTACATACCCGTTGGCAACTAAGTGGGCTAGCCACTTAGTTGGCTATAAAATTCCGGGACAGCCACAAAACACCGGGATAGTCCCCACCTAGACCTTTACATGTAAATTGCTTATATAGGTATAAAAGCATGATTTTTTTTATGTTATATAGCTTTATAAAGGTAAATATATTTAATTTTAGCTATTAAAAGGCCTTTAAGTGTATATACATTTAATAAAATATAAAAAATAACGGATTTAAGCTCTTTTAAGCTATAAAGAGATTAGTTAGGTTAAGC